CTCAGTTTCCCTAATTATAAAATGGTAATGATAATAATAGTACTTACCTCTCAGGGTTGTTCTGAGGATCAAATGAGATAGTATTTGTAAATTGCTTAGCACAGTGCTTGGCACATAGTAGGTACTTAGTAAATGCTTACTTTTTTTTTTTTAAAGGATTGTTTCTGTGCTCTTTTAAAAATGTCTAATGCTCTGCCTTTTTTTTTTTTACATTACTATCACTTCCCAATATCTCTCCCCTCTCCCTACCCATAAAATCCTCCCTTCCAAGAAAGAAAAATAATTAAGCAAAGCAAATTAGCATCTTGACCGTGTCTGGCATGCATTTTGCACCTGTCACCTTTATGTATGGTCAAAATGTTCAGTCATTATGCAATGGAAGGTGTGTTGGATTTGGAATCAATGGACATGAATTCTGATACTGACTCTGTTCTTACAACTTGTGTGACCTTCGATAAGCCATTTAACTTCCCTGAACCTCAGTTTCTCCATTTGTAAAATGAGGGAGTTAGACTAGATCAGAATGTCAAATTTGAGGCAAGCTCCTCTCCCCAAATGACCTGCAAAATTCCTGTGTGAGACCTGAACCAAATTAAAATATAATTGAAAAATGTTCAACAAAGAGAAAAAAGAACACAATACAACATAGAAAATGTTCATTTGTGGTTTTCTAAGCCAGTATTTGCGATCTGCACAGGGATCTGTTTCTGTTTGAGTGTGGCACGGGAGTACTACATGACCTTTAAGATTCCTTCCAGCTATAGATGTATGCTCTTGGGAGTTTCCTCCCACTTTCCTACATCACTGAAATAATAGATCTGGAAAAAATCTGGGTAGAAATTAGACTTCACATTACCTTTCGATTACACCCTTCTAAAATATAACAAATTGGCTTTTGGATGATCCGTTTATAATCTTCTATAGGGCTATGTGCCTGAGGAGCAAGGTTTAAATGACCACAAGATTCATTTGTCAAGATTCTGTGATGGACAGAAAACCTGTGCACTCAATGTACTTGTTAGTGCTCAGTCAGTTGAGCACAGCAAGGAATTTCTGGGCTTTGTGCCAGCCACAGAGTTAAGCACATTTGAAATAGAGGCTCTCATTCTAGTTTTTCTGCCACATGTATAAATCAACATTATAATGTCTTAAGCTGAACATTTTTTTGTTCATGATCCCATAAGAAGAATATTGTATGTTAGTTTGTAGTTCTTTTTTAATTGTATATCCAAATACGTGAATACTGAGAAGGATCTGTGATTTCATCTGTACAAGGGGCTCCCAGTGTGGAAACTTCCTTCAGCAAAGCAAATCACCATGTTTGAGCCAGTTAGAACTTAGTAGATAATACCCAGGAGGTTGAGTGAGGTCCAAAGAACTTAAATGACTTTCCCAGGGTCACATGGATAATAGGCATCAGGACAGGTCTTCATCCTAAACCATGTTATGTTACTGTTCCTCTATGTCTATAAATCCTGTGTGAATAAAACATGAACAGCCTTCAATGACAATATTAGGATTTTAGCTCTTCTGAGGATACTGTAAGAATATCCCTAATTGTTATCATGATCATCAAAAGGCCCAGCTTGCCTGGTATAGTCTTTTTCTTTTCTTGTATATGCTTTTTCCTGACATTATTAGTATAGCTAGCATTTAAATAACCTATAATATGTGCCAGGAATTGTACTAAGCGTGCCTTATAAAAAATCTCATTTGATCCTCACAACAACCCCATGAGGTAACTGCTATTATGATCCCCACCTTACAGATGAGGAAACTGAGGCAAACAGAGGTTAAGTGACTTGCCTAAGAACATGCAGCTTGTAAGAGTCTGAGGCCAAATTTGAACTCAGGTCATCCTGACTACAGGCCCAATGTTTTATAAACCACTGCACTACTTAGTTTCCCCATAAGATATCATTCATTCATTTTCTCATGGCATTAATTCCTCTTGAAATCCAGTTATCTTCATTGTCCTTAAACATATTTTAAAAATACATTTTATTGATAATTTTTGTTTTTAGATCACCTGCATTGCCCAGTGGATATTTCTCCCACCCTCAACGAGTCATCCTTTATAATAAAGAATAAAAATAAAGTTCAATAAAACTAACCAAAGTATGAAAAAAGTTTAACATTGTACGTGATGTTCTACACCCTCATTCCTCCGCAAAGAAGCAGTGGGAGGTGGTTGCTGTTCAGTTCTCCAGTTGTGTCTGACTTTTCGTGACCCCATGGACCATAGCATGCTGGGTCCTTCTATTCTACACTACCTTTCAAAATCTGTCCAAGTTCATCAGTGGGAGGTGCCTTCTCATATTTCTTCTTTGGGGTCAAGCTTGGTCATTATAATTTTATAGCATTGTTTCGATTTTTTGTTATTATTGGTCTTTCCATTATTGCAGGCATTGCCACAATAATTGCATCCCTGCAATTTCTTATTCCTTGTCCACACAAAAAGAGTTGTTATAAATATTTTTGTACATATAGGTCCTTTTCCTTTTTTTTTTTTTTTAAATCTGTTTGAGATAGAGACCTAGTAGTGGTATTGCTGGGTCAAAAGGTAGACATAATTTTATAGTCCATTGGGTGTAGTTCCAAATTACTATCCAGAATGTTTGGATCAGTTCACAACTCCACCAACAGTGCATTAGTCCTTTTTTCCCCCAATTTTTCCACATCCCTTCCAACATTTGTCATTTTCCTTTTCGGTCATATTAGACAATCTGATAAGTGCGAGGTGGTAACTCAGATTTGTTTTAATTTGCATTTCTCTAATCAGTAGTGATTTAGAGTATTTTTTTCACATGACTATTGATAGCTTTGGTTTCTTCTTCTGAAACTGCCCTTTGATGTCCTTCACTCATTTATCAACTGGAGAATGATTTATTTATTTTACAAATTTGGCTCAGTTCTCTAAATATTTGATAAATGAAATATTTACAGTCTACTTATGGATAGCACAAACGAAATCAATAAACCATAGAATTCAATTTTTAAAAATTCGAAAAGATAATGTTTTGATTTTGGTGATGGGAAGATATTAAAGTTGGAATGGCTTTGTGGAGAGACTTTTAGGAGACAAAAACTGAACCTATTTCAGAGAGAAGAAGAAAATAGATTAAGGCGCAACTGAAACAAGATACAAAAAGAAAAAGCTGAAAGAAATAAACCCCAGAAGGCAGAAGATATCTTGCTGAAATGGAGAATTTCAATAAAAAGTGACCATAGAGATGTTTGTCCAATTATCTATTCAGACCAGTGCAAATACATGTGTAACAGGAGTAGGCACAACACTCCCTCACCCCACTCATATAACATATTAAAGGGGGTCTAGTTTGCTGTACACTCTTGGTTTGTTCAGTCATTTTTTAATCGTGCCCAACTCTTTGTGACCCCATTTGGAATTTTATTGGCAAAGATGCTGAAGTGGTTTGCCATTTCTTTCTCCAACTCATTTTACAGATGAGAGAGCTGAGGCAAACAGAGTTAAGTGACTTACTCAGAGTCACACAACTAGTAAGTGTTTGAAGCCAGATTTGAACTCACATAGATGAGTCTTTCTGACTCTGGGCCCAGCACTCTGTTTACTGTATCACCTAGCTGCTTCCTGGGCATTATACTAGTTGATAAATGTCAATCCTCAGCTCTCTCTACTGCTACTGCTCATTTCCTTAGTAATTCTCTACGCGTGCTAAAGCAATCAAGGGGCATGTTCTTACATTTATTCACAAATGAATAGAAGTACACAATCTCTCTCACTCATTAATCACTCAGCTCTGAGCACCCACTCCAGTTTATGAATAAACCTCTTTTCCCATAAATTTTCTCTCTTCCTTCCACCTCTCCTCACTAAACTCCCTGATTTCATAGGCTTAGATAAACATTAATATTACTGTCTGTACAATTTATTAACAGTATATCAGGCAATAAAAAGACATTTAAATATTTCAATAACATATCAGCCATGAGAAAGATTACAGCCAGAGTCATCTCTAACCAACTATAGCTGCTGATTTCTTCACAGACCATACATAATCCAACAGGAATTTAGCTTTTTTTGGATAGCAAAGTCCCTCAAGAATTCTTTTCAGGTTATCTTCTCCACAAATAAAAGTTAAACTCAGTTTTCTCAAAACATCTCTTTAGACTTCTATGCCATGGCAGTTAAATCACTCATTCTCTCAGGAAAAAAGTTCTGTCAGTCCTTTCTCTCTATGTCTTTCATAATCTCTCTCAGCTATGGCAGTTAACTCTCTCTATAAAACAGCTAAACTATCTCTTCCTAAGATTTTATTCCTTCTCTTGAAGATATGGCAACAATATCCAAGTCTTTGTAGGAGGGACTATTAAAGCTGGAAGGGCACTGGTGCTCCATTAGAAGTTTTTCCTCATTTTCTCTTCTGCCTCTTCTATCAAGGAACAAAGTAGTTGGGTTCCTCAAAGTGAGAACATTTCTTCTTTTTTTTTAATTATTTTTTTGCTTAGGCAGTTGGGGTTAAATGACTTGCCCAGGGTCACACAGCTAGTAAGTGTCAAGTGTTTGGTCTGAGGCCAGATTTGAACTCAGGTCCTCCTGACTTCAGGGCTGGTGCTCTATCCACTACTCCACCTAGCTGCCCCAGAACATTTCTTATAAACTTTGACAAAGAACATAACTTTTGGGCAGCAGGTCACAGAAGCCTATGTCTATAACAGAGCTGTGGCAGGACTTTGACAGCATACCCCTTGACAGCAAAACCAGAATTCCAGTGCTCCTAAATATTAATGACAATAAGATATCTCTAGCTTAAGTCAGAGCATTTATTAAGCACCTACCATGACACTCCAGATGCTGTGTTATGCTCTGGAAATACAAAGAAAGACAAACAAAACAAGATAGAAGGATATTGTCTCTTCTATTCCTGGGCCAAGATGGGGGGAGAGGTCAGAGAAAGTTTCCGTGATGTACTGACTCAGAGGTCCTTATGTGATGAATGATGTTGACCATTTCCCTAAAGCTTCTCCCTGAATCGGAGTCTATTGCAAAGAAGATCAGACGCTGATTGACATGTTCCAGACACTGGTATTTACCTGTGGAGACTTGTTCCCTCCCAGGGTCCCTCTCTCAGTGAGGATGAGCAGCACCAGAGTAGACAAGAAAGACATTTTGACTGACAAAGTGGCTTTGATCATCGGATCCACCCAGGAGTAAGTGAAGATAAATTCCTAATTGAAAAGTGCAACAGGGATATTGGGTCTACACTCTCAGGAGTGTAACCGATCCATCAGAGAGTGTAGGGTCAGCTCCTTAGAGTTAAAAGAGGCTGAGGATTATGATTTTCCACTAAAGAGGAGGCCACCAGGGGAGTGAGCTAGAGGGCAGCAGGGCTAAGGAATGAGAACATCAAGCATGTCTTTCTGTCTCCTTTTCTTTTATAGCATTGGCTTTGCCATTGCATGACGGTTGGCCCGGGATGGGGCCAATGTGGTGGTGAGCAGCCGCAAGCAGCAGAATGTTGATCGGGCCGTGGAGACACTGAAGGAAGAAGGACTGAGCGTGAGCAGCATGGTGTGCCATGCAGGGAAAGCAGAGGACCAAGATAGGCTAGTGACTGTGGTGACTGATCAAAGATGATGGTAGATGGTGTAGAGAAAAAAACAGACCATTTCCTAATTACCCAGCCCAGGATTTAGAGGGCCTACAACTGAATCCTCACCCACAGGGCTCATGTGGTCTGCCCTAAATGGATGGACTATCCTGGGCCAATGAGAACAGATCCTTTGAAGAGAAGATAATCTTGGTGACTCAGGCCTTAGGGAAACTCTGGGTTGGGGATACTAGGTGCTTAATAAATGTTTATTGATTTGATTTGGGAACTCAATTACACATTATCTGGAATGTGACATTCTGATTGGCAGAGCCAAAGCAAGGAATTGGCTCACCCCTAGATAGGGTTTGGGAATTCTAGTTCCTCTTTACCCTTATGGTTTGAAATTTTGCCTGTGGCCCTTAGCCAGTTTACTCCATCAATGTATAGGGAGAGAGTCAAGTGTTGTAATGGGTTGAACATAGCAAAAAAGGTCTTTTTTTTTTAAATTGTTAGAAGATACGCATAATAAAGGCAGGAACCAATTCTGGAAAGTAGAGGGCAATGACCTTACCTTCTCCATTTAGCTTTTAATCTTGTTTAGCTTCGTTTGCATGCCAGTCTGGAAAGGATCATGAGAGCAAAATGGACTTTGTAGCCTCCTCGTCCACATAACTACTGTGGGGGTTTCTTTGTCAGACCCCCACTCCCCCCCACTCCCCAAATAAGTTTTGGGAGCACAAGATAAAGCATTACAGGTAAACTACACAGAATTTCTAATTCTGTCAAGACAATTATCTGGACAATAGATTTCATATCAGCAGAGTAGATTTAACCTTTGCCTAGGGGCATTCTAGTTTGGCATTTGGTTAACTGTCCTTAGCTGGATGGCTATGGATAGCTTTTTTGCTATGTTCAATCCATTACAACACTTGACTATCTCCTTATACACTGATGGAGTAAACTGGCTGAGGGACACAGGCAAAATTTCAAGCCATAAGAGTAAAGAGGAACTAGAATTTCCAAACCCTATCTAGGGGTGAGCCAATTCTTTGCTTTGGCTCTACCAATCAGAATGTCACATTCCAGATAATGTATAATTGAGTCCCCAAATCTTGGCTCATAATCTCTGATATGGATTAAAGATCTCTCAATGTGCCTTTGTCAAGGAGAGGCTTCCTAGTTACTTCATTTATCATTTGGGAACCAAAATGGTCATTTGATGACCCTGAAGTGCCAAAGCATAGAATCTGATAACAGAGAGTAGTAGTTTGGTGACCACAAGACCAGTAGAGCTACCCAGAAGGCATTACAAGACCAGTGAAGTCACAACCCAGGAGAGCAGCAGACATGATTCTCAGCAGAGAGCAGCATGATAACATCACCAGAGGACATTAGCAGCCCTAGAGCATCCAAGTTGTGAGTTGCTCTGGGCGCATACCTTCTTTATGTAAGTCCTTTATGATTGCCCCTTCATATATGTGCCCAGGCCACATGATTCCTTACATGTGCCATCCATGTCTTCTTCTTGGTAACATATTTTCTTAACATATGTCCCCTTCCCCTCTGATGGCTTGGTAATATTAGGGAACATGTAGTGCATGGGAGGAATATTTTCTTGTTGTTTAAAGGGTCATTTTATTTGATTAAATGTCTTTTGCTTTGAGTTAATGTGCCCTGTGGCTGGATGGTAAAAGTAAACATACAATGAGGGGCTCATGAGCTATGGTTTTGAGTGGGTGATGACCCACAGAGTGTCTTGAACTGAGATTGCTTTTCTGGGGGGCCCAAGTGTAAGAGATGGTGCCTCATGTGTTAAAAGCATAATACATGCACCTCAGCTATCAAAAAATAAGGACCTATGTGCCATGAAGAGGACAATTTTCTGTCATTCAAAATATATTCATTTTTTAAAAACAATATTTTAACATCAACATTCTGTGATGTTAGATGACTAAAATCATGGAATACCACAATCTCAGAAAAATCAAAATAGTGAGTAACACAAGGATGTGTGGGACATAGTTATATCCTGTTACTAATTATGTGTTGAGAACCATAAGAAAATCTCATCAAAGATATATAAATGGAAAATAAGGTGGTATTGCCCATTGAGTGAGAGTGAGGAATAGCAAATGGTCAGCCTGAGTGTTTTACTAGTATTTGCAAAATATTACAAGATCCAGATGAAGCTTGTTGGAAGATTTAGGAAGAGAAAGTGTGGTTGGGTTGCAATGTGCACTGCTTGAGGGAGGATCCACCCCAAGATATCACATATTTATCAAAATATTGAAGCACGTCAAAGGTAATACTGAATCTCAGTCACTCCCTCCTTTCAGTAGACAGGTAGGGAACTACAGGTGTGGCATCTGTTATGCCCTATGAAATATAATTACTATTACTTTTAGTTTGGAGTAGCTGTGTGGTGCAGTGGATAGAATGCCAGGCCTGGAGTCAGGAAGACTCATCTGGCCTCACACTTACTAGCTGTGTGACCCTGGGCAAGTCACTTAACCCCATCTACCTCAGTTCCTCATCTGTAAAATGAACTGGAGAAAGAAATGGCAAACCCCTCCAGTATCTTTGCCAAGAAAATCCCAAAAGGGATCACAAAGAGTTAGACATGACTGAAAACTCCTAAACAATAACTTTTAGGGTTTTTTCTTTTTCTTTTTTTTTTAAAGGGATGATTCAGTGGTGGAGGAATGGAGATAATGACTGTGGTGTAAAAATAAAAGGTTTGAATAAAAATGTTTAGAGTAATCTGAAAATGTTTTATCTCCTTCCCTTCTCCTCTCCCCAACATAAACACACATTTCTGTACCCTAGGTGAATGCTCACCTACCACCAGTCTGGGTTCTGTTAATGGATAATCTTCTTAAAAGAGAACGTCAGTGTTTTAAAGCAACGTAGAGGAGAAGCATATAGTGAACAGGTAAATGCCCCAGAGAAAGGACTCTAAGTATATGGGAAAAATTAGTTGGTCAACAAACCTTTATTAAGCACTTACTATGTGCCAGGTACTATGCTAAACACTGGGATTATAAATACAACTTGAAAGAAAGACAGTTCCTGCTCTCAAGGGCCTTATATTCAATGTAGGAAGGCAATATACAAAAGGGGACTGAAGGCAGGGTGAGGAGGTTGAGGTCTGGAATGAAGGTAGCCAGCTTTGGGGGATAGTAGAGGAAGTCCAGAGTGCCACCTGGAGAGGAGTAAGACATGACTGGCATAGATATCTTCCTTAAATAGAAGCTCTGGGAGGAGCTACCCAATCAGAGGGAGAAGCCACAAGAGTAATGGTGGGTACTTCCAATGTGTGAATATTCTAGTACCAAGGTGCGATTTCTGGATATAAAGCTGGGGCATGGGAGAGGAAGTCTGGAGTGCAGTATGACGAGGAATGATTAGAGGATGGAATATTGTTTTAGATACAATGTATGGTCTTGATCATAATAAGTGCTTCAAAGAGCTGTAGTTTGTGGGTGTGAGTACTTCCCTTCACCAACACAGGTCACAACCCCTCCATGACTTGCTAGATGGGCTTTGAGAGTTCCTGTGGCCAAAAGATATATTACCTTGTGGTCAACCAAGTGATATACCTATCTGAACCTAGCTGGGCTGGCCCTTGGATAACAGACATACATTCCTTTGTGGGGACCCAATTCTAAACCATTTCTACTTAGTGAGGTCTACCAGAGTTTGGGTTCTGTTGGCACAGCCTTGGAGAACCTAGGGTTACCTTCACACCACAGTCAAATAGAGATTTACCTGGAGGTTGAACTAGTAGCCACTTAACTAATGTTTGTTGAAAGGAAAGAAAGGCAGAAAAGAATGATTGGAATAAAGGCTGTGACTGGAAGAAGAGAAAAAAAGAGAAATTATATTGTTAAAATTAAGGTGACCAGAAGGCCCTAGAAGTTGCACTCTAGGTTGTGATTGCATGATCAGGTTCAAGTTCTAGCTATATTTGTCCCAGAACGTGTCTCCATGGCAATATCATCTCACATTATCTATCATGAGAAAAAGAAATGGGCCACCCAGTACTCTTAACTTACCAAATCTGCTCCAGGAATAATTAAACGATATAATAATGATAATAAGGCCTCCTCGGATGCCTCCTTATGATGTATGGGTAACCCTGTGATATGAAAGGATATGTCAGTGGAGCAGAGCTTCGAGCGTGGGTCTGGGGAAAGACTCTGTATCTTTTGACTGAGGACCATCCTTCCTAAGTTAAAAAGGATCTTCACAGAAGGGACATAGGGACTCTCAAAATTAACCAACCAAGCCAAAGAGATGTTCCAATCTTTGCAGACAGGAGGGCCTACAAGGATCCTTGAAATATTGAAGAATAATAATGTAGAAGCTGTGACTAGGAAAAGACTGGTCAACTTAACAAGGTGAAAGGGTCAAGCTTGGAAGGCATCTCTCTGCGCAACAACTTTTTTTTTTAATATCTCCTTAACGGGATATGAAATGATAGCCTGTTCAGTCTAAGAAGATTAAAGAATGAGACCTTTGTTCTGGATATATTCTGGCCTCAAAGACATCTCTCTGTGGACATCCCTACTGAGATAATTAATTTCCCTTGTAGAGTTCGGGGACTGTTCGGGTAACTGTTGATCCTTTGACACATAGAGAATGATTCTTTGAGTAATGACAACTTTTTTTTTCAAGTAAGAAGCATTTATTTTTTGTCTCTCCCACTTCCTCCTGGAAAGAAAAGGGAGATTTCCTGGACAATGCCAAACTCCTAGACCCAGTGTGTTGGGGAGAAGAGGAATAATTCTTCTCAAATTGCTGAACCAAGTTTCCTACAAAGAAGAGGAGTAACACATGGCCCAGCGTTGGAGCAACCTCAAGAGACTAAACTATGATGTGGAGCAGCAAACCTGGACCTTACTACCTACTACCACCTTGACTTATACAGACAGTGCTGTCCTGATAGAAAGAGGAGTGATACTCTAGCAGCTCCAAGTGCAAAAGTTCAAAATGGGAATCCCTACCTTAGGATAGTGCCACAAGTCTAGAAGACTATGTAGGTCTCTGGTGGAAACTTGAGGGACATACCTTCTGGCCACAAGTATGTCTCCCTTCCCAGGAAGTATCTACCACAAGGTGGCACCATGAGCCTGGAAAATTGTAGAAGTCCCTGAGTGGAAGGTGGAATTCATCTGAGAGGGAAGAGCTCATATGTTGACTGTACATGGGATCTTATCAGTCCTTCATGTTTTTTGCATCACTTCTATGGAATGAAATATAGTTCGTCCTGTATACAACATATATTATTAGCTAGAGTGCTTAGATGGGAACTGAGAGCCCTTTTACACATATCTATAGAGAATAAAAAATGAGTTATATTCTGAGGTTCCCAGGGAAAACCCTGGATGGAAGTGTCAATCAGACCTAACCAGCCTCTAACCTGTGGATGGCTGGAGCCCAATAGACCAGGCTAGAGACAGGAAAGTCAGGAATCAAACATAAGCTAATTTCAAAGTGAGGGAAACAACTTGCAAGCGAGGAGGGGATCACATAGACACATATGCTAGGGCCCCATCCCTAGTTGGGGACCCGAGGCAGTGTAGGGAGAGCTTGATATATTGTGATTTTGCCAGAGGGTGATATCATCCAAAGGGTGAACAAAAATGATTGTTGTTGTGCCAAGTTAAGGGCACAGTTTGTTTGCTGGGTCTTAGCTTTGCAAAATACGATGTCTCCTAATATCTTGACAGAGTCACCCAACAAAGAGTAATTAGTGGGAAGATTCACCAAGACTTGAACCCAGTCTATCTAAGTCCAAAATTGGGGTTCTGGGCCAAGGATGACAATTTAAATTATGTTGTAATAATAAGAATGCATTTGTTTAGCCTTTTAAGGTTTACAAAGTATACAACCCTGTGAGGAATGGTTCTAGGACAGAATTTAACAGGGACAAGGCAATATGATACAATAGAGTATTAGACTTGGACTCCAGAGAGGTGTGGGTTCAAATCCCTCCTCCAACAGTTACTAACTATGGGCAAATCACAGTTTCTCTGAGACTTGGTTTCCTCATCTGTAGTACTTACCTTTTAGAGTTGTTATGAGGATCAGTCAATCAATAAGCATTTATTAAGTGCCTGCTACATGCCAGGAACTCTATTGGCTTTGTGGACACAGAGCTAAAAGAAAGACAGTCCCTGATCACGAGGGGTTTACATTCTACTGGAGAGGGGATAGGTATAGTATGTTTACAGATAAGTAAATGAAAGATATATATATATATATATATATATATATATATGTATGTATATATACACACAAAATCTGTATATTTGGAGGAATTGAGAAAGGTCTCTTGAAGGAGGTAATGCTTGATTTGAGTCTTGAAGGATTCAAGAGGTGGTTGTGAAGAGAAAAAGCATTCCAGGGATAGGAGACAACCCTTGAAAAGCAAGAGGAGGGAGATGAAGTGTTGTGTATGGGGGGGACATCAAGAAGGCCATTGTGGCTAGAATATAAGAGTACATGAGAGGGAGTAGTGAGGAGTCAGCCTGAAAAGATAGCCTGGTGTTAGATTGTCAAGGAACTGAAATGGCAAAAGGAAAGTTTGTATTTTCTCCCAGGAATACTCAGGAGCCACAGAAGCTTCTTGAGCTGGGGATGTAGGATGGTCAGACTTGTGCTTTAGGATGGTCAATTTGGCCTATGCAAAGAGGATGGATTACAAAAGGAGAGAGGCTGGATTCAGGGAGAACAACAAGGAGGCCTGTCCTAGGTTAGTTGTGGTGTGAGTAGTGAGAAGGGGATAGAGATGTTGTGGAGGAAGCATCTTTAAGACCTGGAACTGGATTAGGTATCAGGGGTGAGAGCGTGGAAGGTTGCAAATATGGATGAAAGGAGGAATAGTGGCTCCCTCAATAGAAGGAGGGAAATTAGAAGGCAATATGGATTTAGGGTTCGGTTTCAGAGATGTGGCATTTGAGGTATCCATGGTACATCCAGGTGATACATCAGGCAATTGGAGATGTGTAACTTGCTGAGCAAAGAGATGGAGGCTAGCTATTTAGGTTTGGAAGTTGGCTGCATAAAGACAATTAGTTGAGTCCATGTGAGCTGAGGGGATCATTGAAAGAGTTAGATAGAGAAGAGTGCCCAAGAAAGAACACTGGGGTATATCACACATAGGGGGCAAGATATGGATGATAATCAACAAAGAAAACTAAGGAGTAGTTAGACAGGTAGGGAGAGAACCACAATAAAGCAGTGTCACAACAACCCAAAAAAGAGAAAGTATATAGAGGAATGAGTAGGCCATTGGATTTAGCAATAAAAAGATTATTGGTGACCTTAAAAGAACAGTTTCACTTGAGTATGGTGAACAGAAGCCAGAAGGAAAGGGCTAAGAAGTAAGTGGGTGGTGAGAAAGTGAACACAATGAGTACAAATAGTGTTTGTCTTTTTTTTTAAAAAAAAGGAATTTGGCTATGAAATGAAGAAGAGATATAGAATGATAACTTGAGGGGATAGGAAGGTCACATGAACTTGTTTTAAGGTTGGGGGAGATAGGACATGTTTCTAAGCAGCAAGGAAGGAGTCAATGGATAAGAATAGATTGAAAACTAGGGAGAAATAGTAATGAATGAAGGCTAAGGTCTCAGAGGAGAAAGGTCTGACCAAGAGTGTGTGTAGAAGAATTGGCATTGGCTAAGAGAAGGCCATCTCACCCTCTAAGACTGGAGCAAAGGGGAGAGAATGGGTGTGATGGTTTCAAGTATGGAACTGGGGCAGAGAAAGTAGTATGTGGCAAGATGCCTAGATGAGAGGAAAGGAGGAGGAGTGACCTAGGTGACTGGAGGAAAGAAGGTTTGAAGCAACTACCATAGCAGTATAATAGAAAGTCAATCAGAGAAGTGTGAAAAGATTGGCTTTGCATCAGTGAGTAACAAATCAGACAGTCTATGTAAAGAACTTTGAAAACCTTAAAGCACTATATAAAAGTGTTGTTGTTGTTGTTACTGTTACTGTTGTTATAGCAGGAACTTCCAGTTTGACAGGAGACAATAAGTCTACTGCAGCATCTAGCAAGGAAAGGCAAAATAGTCTAGTGGTTAAGGAACTGGGTCAGGAAGGTCTGGATGCAAATCCCAGCTGTTACTTTCTATCTGTGTGACCTTTGGCAAGTCACTTAACCTCTGTGGGCCTCAGTTTCCACATCTGCAAAATCAGGGGTTTGAATCTGGTAGCCTCTGGAAGGTCACTTTCAGCTCTAAATCTATGCACCTATAAGGAATATTATACAACCCATATACAACGAGTGAGTCTGCAGGTCAGACCACACCCTCCCAATCCAGCAGCAGTTAAGAAAGAGATAGAAGAAGAGAGAGCCAGAGAAACAAACAGGGAAAGAGAGGCTATTTATTACCTCCCCATCATCTCTGATCCCACATTTTCTATCTCATTTTTTTCCCTCTAGGTTGCAGAACAATATGGAGGTGTCAACTTCCTAGTTTGTGCTACTGGAGTTAATCCCTTAGTAGGGAGCACTCTGGGAGCCAGTGAGCAGGTCTGGGACAAGGTGAGGCCTTCGGAGTTGGATTTGGGATCAGATTCAATGATTCTTGTGTCACGTACTATCTGTTATAGCTGATAATATACTTAAATGTAATCTGGGTTCCCACAAGGTCACTCTCCTCATTGTCTCATGGAACTGGTAACCTACAGCTCTTCTAATGCCAAGAAAACAGATGCCCACCCTCTTAGGTTTTCTTTATCTCCATTCACAAACTTTCCTCAGGCCCAACCCAGGGGCCGAGCACTTTAGTCACCAGACCTTAGGGTAGGATCTTAGCCCCTCTGTCTTGGCTCAGGATTCCTCTGATGTCATAGATCAGATGGGATGCATTCTATCTCCTGGAATGCCATTTTCTTTTTTTTTTTTTTAAGCTTCCCAATTCCATCTTTTTTCTTTCTTTTTTTTAAACTTTTTTTATTAATTTATTTTGATTTATCAATAATCACTTCCATATGCTTTTGAGTTCAAAATTTTTCTCCCCCTTCCTCCCCACCACCCTCCTCAAGATGGTGCATAATCTGATATAGGCTATACATTTACATTCATATTAAACATATTTTCACATTAGTGATGTTGTAAGTAGAAATTAAAACCAATAGGAAGAACCATCAGAAAGAGGAAACAAAACTCAACATAAGAGAAAAAAATTAGCAATTCGGCTTCCATAGTTCTTTCTTTGGGTGTGGATATCATTTTCCATAACAAGGCCTCTGGAGATGTCTTAGATTCTTGTATTGCCAGGAAGGGTTAAGTTTATCAATATTACTCATTGCACAACGTAGCTGTTATTATGTATGATGTTCTCCTGGTTCTGCTCACTTCACTCAGCATCAGACCATACAAGTCTTTCCAGGTTTTTCTGAAGTCTGCCTGTTCAACATTTCTTATAGCACAATAGTATTCCATCACATTCATATACCACAACTTGCTCAGCCATTCCCCAGTTGATGGGCATCTGGAATGCCATTTTCATCCACCTGGCACAGGAATCAACTCTCCAGGATGGGACAAGGAAATCTCTGCCCTACCCAATGAAAAGCTGCCTTCACAGTTCCAGGAAAGATACTCTTCTCAGACCCCACAGTCCCAATACCAGCCATGAACCCCAGAGGACATGCCCTATTAGTCATTCTGCTTCCCCCTACCTTTTATGGCTCTGACCAGGGAAACCTTTAATCTATATGGTGCCACCCAAAAAAGGGTGCCAGAGCCTCAACTTCAGCACATTACTATTGAGCTTGATTACTGTCACTGACCCAGAGTGGCTATACTCAACTTCCCTCAGAGGGAACCAGTGCCCTCTTCAAGGGAGCATCATAAAGGGCTCATCTGTTCAAAGCCCCTTCTCTTTTTAAACTACCCTGTTCAGCCCCTTGGGTCTCCTCCATTTAATTAGACCTATATAAACTAGCTCTCCTACATTACTTCTACTCTTGTTTTCTCTTACCCTGTTGTAGAATAGGTTGGCTTGGATAGGGAGAAGTCATGGTGGAAGAGACAACTGTAAGAGATTTTCTTAAATTGCATATTCACAGTGTTTGGACAGGGACAGGGTTCCTCAGATCCCTAAATATATCCTGAGATTCTTCCTTCTTGAGGACCTCATATAGAGAAAGGAGCTATAACATTCCAGCCACTTCCTGCAAGGAATTTTACAGAATTCGAAGTGACCAACAAGAGCAGAAAATCAGAAATAATCACATTGCATCTCCTTTTTGCTCTGAATTCAGATTCTGGATGTGAATGTGAAGTCCCCAGCCCTGCTTCTAGGCCAACTGTTGCCTCATATGGAAAAAAGGGGGTATGAAATGGAGGAGGGGAATAAGTGGGTTACTGGACACAGGAGCTGGGCCAAGCAGAGCAGGGAAAGCAGGACATGAACAATCAGATGACCTCTCTTTAGTATGCCTAAGGCTAACCTAACTCTCTCAGAATCTCTTCCTCTTAATCCTGAAGTAAGGACTCACTAAGTGAAGCCTGTTCCATTTTTATGAACTGTCCAGACATAGAACGAGCTGCCTTTGGAAGGAGCTTGTCAGTGGAGCTTTTCAACCAGAAATTGGATGACCACTTGTCAGAGAACTCATAGACAAGATTCATGTTTTTGGTAGGGTATTAGATCTAATACGACTCATCAGTTCTATGATTTTGTAATTCCACCTAGCTGTCTTTCATGGGGGCCCATGGGATTACTGTCCATCACTATGATCAGAAACTTTCTAATACTTCACTACCCTAAGGACTCAGCTTCTACCTAGAAGTACTGATAAGATGCCACCAAATCCCTTCCTCTTATCACAGACCTTAGTTCCTCCTCCTACTAGCCTCTATAGCTTCTATATCACTAGAAAAGCTAATCTCTTGAAAATATATGGTCTCTCAGTTACCATCATCCCATTTGTTCATTTCCTTGTAAGGAATGTTCTGTGATCTTGGTATCATCAATTTCAGCCTATGTTCCAGTTCCAGTAAGTATTGACTTCTTTGAACTTGGGTGGGCCACAGTAAGTACATAAGAAAAGGTATGAATCCTACTTTCTAACAATAACTCTCTTACACCTATTTCTTGCCTTATATTTTTGAAAGTATATTTTCATCTGTTACATCATTCAACATTTATCACATACCCTTGAAATCTTGGGCAGGTCTTATCATCATTTGACAAATGTGGCAGTCCAAGTCAAAAGATATTCCCCCAACCTGTGATAGAGCTAAGACACAAGAGAAGCAGCCTGGAAGTATTTCCTGTTGTCCAGTCCCAGGGAACTTTGCCTGATTTTTTTCCCCTTGTAGAAATTGGGCCCCTACAACATCGGTACAACTGCCTTGCTGGGCCTCACCAAGACAATGGCTGTGGAGCTGGCCCTGAAGGGCATCCGGGTTAACTGTCTGGTTCCAGGTGTTATCAACACTGACTTCAGCAATGTGTTGGTAAGACTCTGGGGTCACTCCTCTAATCCTCTCAATGTCTCCACTGATGATTAAATTCCTGATCAAGTCAAGTCCAGGCCAACTCTTGTGGAGACCCATTCAGGACTAGGAAACTCAGTCTTAATCCTTTCTACTAGGTAGACTCTCCTTTCCCTGTAGCAGTATATGTGCTTTAATCTGTTTTTGGGAAAAATAGTGTAGAGTGGCCTCCAATTCATTTCCCTAGTCATGAGCAAGTTTTATCCTCTACAGGCATATACACCATGCTTACCCTCGTTTTATATACTCCAATGAGCCTTATGCCTAAACATAATGAATCTTTCTATATTTTGCTTTTGTTCAGGTCCAAGAAGAAGAAAACTTGATACAGCCAACTAAGAAACTATTTGGAATGCAGAGGTAAACAGTTTTGAAACTTCATATAGTACCTTCTATAGAGCTGGGAGAAAGAAAATTCTAGGGTATGAGAGATTAACATAGTCCTGGATTTGGGGTTGTGAGTTGGAAGTATGAGTGCCCCATGAAGAACTTACCATGTGTCCTTGCACAGAATAAACCCCTAGGTGTCTATGAACTGGAGGAACCATAAAGATGGAGACCATCCTGGGTCCTCTTAAAACTATAGACACAGAGGACAAGATTAATTAGAGCCTGGTTTTCTAATCTCAGTCCTTTTCCTCTTCCATCCAGGATTGGACAACCAGAAGAATGTGCAGGGATTATGTTTTTCCTGTGTTCTCCAGATTCCAGCTTCATCACTGGACAGAACATTGTAGTAGCTGGCTTCTCCCCCAGCACATAAGGCAGCCTGTCAAGGAACATGAAGCTATAACTTTGGGTGTTAAATAGTACATGTGATCCTGGGAACTGGATAGAAATTGAGTAAGGGTAGAAGAAAATATGGAAGAATCTCAGGAGGACTTCATTAGCACCCAGAGACTAGAAAAGGGAAAGGAAGGAAGGAAGCATTTATATAATACTTAGCACATGCCAGACACTGTGACTTTAAGTACTTTATGAATCTGAAGCTGGAGCTTAAGCATAGCTGATATGCAAGTGTTCAGAGGTCCTTAAGAGGTGAATCATTTTCCACAGTTGTTTTCCTGGTAATCACTAATTTAAACTTATACCACTGGGCTCAAGGGGAAAGTGTTCGACAGATCAGGGAATCTTATCTATTTCTTCATAAAATATATGAGCTGTTGTTTCTTAGGGTCCTTGAACCCAATTCAATCCCTTAATCTGTTCCCCAGCATGTACCTAATCTTTACGTGTTGAAATCTGACCATTAATGGGAGTCCCTAGATAATTAGACTATAGTTAAAGAATGATAGGGGCTATTGTTCATTAAGGGACCTAAGAAAAGAAAAGGGTACCTTTGAAAGTACTGAGGAATCATTGTTTCTGTCTATCTGTTTAAAGGTTTTTTTTTTTAATTTAAAATAAACTTGTCTGGAAATTACTAGATTTGTTGTTTTGAAAACAAGCCGCCAGTCTATGTCTAGAAGTCCTAACCCTGAATTAGTGCTGTTTTGGTCCAAAAAGATAAGCTTGAAAGGGGAGGTAATCAATCTCACTTTTCCATATTTTTTCTTACATTTAATAGCAAATGTCTCTCTAAATGAGTGAGGCGTGTGTGTGTGTGTGTGTGTGTGTGTGTGTGTGTGTGATAAATCAGTGTTCAAATTAGAAAAGGAAAAAGAGATCCCATGCACAAAGCTTATGTGCACAAATGAGAATCTTCAAGAAGGCTAGAGACAGAAGACAGGAAATTTTCAGGTCTACCTCTTCAAAAGGACTTCCACAGCCATCTGTTTACCCATGTTTTTTAGATCAGCTGGTTGGGAATTAAGGACACTTCCTTAATTTCTTGGTTCCCTGGGGATTCTGAGGCAGCAATTAAAAGGAAGGTGTTATCCTCAGAGCTAAGCTTTGGCACCAGAACAATGTCTGGCACATAGTAAATAATAAATTCTTGCTGATTGCTTTATGATCAGTGTAATTGGTTAAATTGGATTAGGGGCATAGAATTGGAATGCTCATTTATTTTCTGCCACTCAAGTTTTGATAACAAGGAATTATAAGATCAGAATCACAGAATTAATTAAATACGAGTGGGAAGAGACCTCATCTGGCATCTAGTCCAACCTACATACAAAAAGAATCACCCCTAGTAATCTGTCCTCTACTTAAAGACCTTCAAGGAAGGAAAGCTCACTACATCTAAAAGCAGGTCATTCTGGAAACCTCAAATTCTTAGGAAGTTTTTTCTGACATAAAGCCAAAATTGGTTCTGCCCTCTGGGACCAAACAGAACAAAGAAATTCCTGCTCCACGTGACAAGCTTTCAAACACTTGAAGACAGCTTCTGTCTTCATTTCCCCATGCTAAACCTGTCTAGCTACTTCAACCAATCTTCATATGTCATAGACACAAGGCCCTCACCATCCTGGTTTCTTTCCTTTGGACACTCTCCACTTTATCAATGCCCTTCTTAGATTATGTGTCCAGAAATGAACATAATACTCCAGATGAAGTCTGACAAGGAGAGAATATAATGGGACCTTAGTCAATTTAGGGGTGTGTATAAGGCCAAAATAGCTGGGAAGTGTTGTGTGAAATTTAACAAAAAGGTAAACTGAGGCATATTTCTCTGAGCAAGATAACATTTTATTATCAGAACAGGTAACCTGAGAATAAGATGGATCAATGGGTTGCCTCAATTTATGCCAAAGATCCAGAATTGCAGATGCAGCTCACTTTTATAAGCATAGAACAAAGAATAGCACGGGGTAGGTGATATCATGGGACTGAGGACAACATGATTAGTTACATAGCTGAGGTAAGAGGAACAACACGATTGGCTGAAAACTTGGTAATGAGGGGCTGGCAACGATTCCCTCCTAACTCCATTGCCTAAGAAGTGATCATCATTTGAGTCCATTTGCAAGGTCTAGAGTTAATGGACTAGACCTTTTAAACAGCAAATCAGACATCATTGAAGGATAGCTTGGTGGTGTAAAGATATTAGACCAAAATCCCTTATGGCAAGCCACATTCCCCAAGGTGAGCTCAATTTTTTAAGGCAATATCAGAACAGTGATTAGCAAGAGAACTGGATTTCTAAACTTAACCCATTACAGTCCAGCTGAATTCTGAACTACGTTCAAAGACAAATCACCCTGACTTAGGCAGTTATAGGACAAAATCAATTAATTGTAAATAGAATCAATAATAAATGATACAGGATCAATCGACCATTTCAAAACAAAGCCTCATAGGTATACAAAATAGTAAACAATTGGTATGAGCAAAAATATACCAAGGGAGTTCTCTTTACCCTAAATTACTTGGCCATTGTTAGATGAACGTCTTCTTAGATTAGAGAACAAAGGCCCTTTTTAAAGAAAGAATAATAGGCTTTTTGGGAGGATTATACATAGAAATGCTAGTTTAGTCAAAAAGAGGGTTAGAGGAGGAGCTCCTAATACAAACAAAAGCTAATATTAGGAGAAAAGGATCTTACCTTCAATATAATTATATATAAGTGTATTTTGCAAATCTACATTTTCTAGTTAGCAACACCATTCATTTATATTCACAAAAGAAGGATGGCTCTTATAGTTACAAAAATCCTGAATAAGAAATATATTCTAAAATATATTATAAGAAGGGTCACAGCAGCCACCAACTGGGCATTCTGGGATGTCAGAGTTTAGCAGGCCCTGCCATAAAACCTAAATCAATCTTTTCCTTTCTTTTCACCACCTCATCTTGCCAAAGTCTTATTCTTAATCACTTAATGTGCTCTTTGCTTTGTTGCTTCCCTAGAGACCCAATCAGCCTTAGGTCCTCCTTCCACCCCAATGACACTGATGGCTAACAGTGAGATCTATTGTGTCTAGATTCTTTACCTCTATTTCCCTATTTTTTTTTAATGACTCCACCTTTCTGCCTTAGATGGAGTCAGCTTGCTTCTGCAGCTCACCCCCAAGTACCAGTTTTGAAGAAAATGAGCCTATATGGCACCATGTACATAGCACTGGACCTGGAGTCAGGATGACCTGAGTTCAAATCAGACCTCAGACACTTATTAGCTGTGTAACCCTGGGCATGTCATTTAACCTCTATCTGCCTCACTTTCCTCAACTGTAAAGTGGGAATAATCACAGCACCTACTTCCCAGGGTTTTTGTGAGGATCAAATAGTTTACAAATATCTCAAACTGCTTAAAGCACTATATAAATGCTAGCTATTATAATAGCTATGCTATTATGCCTGTTGCACAAACCCAGGTAGGATCCTATTAGAGAGCAAATCAGAGAAGGGGAGGAATCTCTTTTTTTTTGTAAACAAGTTTCATGAGACAACTGCCCTTTCACCTACTGCCTGTTATTCCTCCCCTGACTTTCTCCAGGTTGACTGATCTCCACTCCCTCCCCACCCCCTATTTAAGTCACTAGATATGAACTCTTTCACAACTTCTACCTAGACCTTTGGATTTGATTACTCTGTGAACTCTGGTTCAGCATAACAGGACATTCTATTTACCCTCTCAGATCACCATCTGGATGACCCCATTTTTATTTAAGATGGTTCTCTCTAGATGACCTTATATAATGTATTTCAATATCTAGGAGCTATCTTGGCCTCTGTAAAGTAGTGTGCGTTCAAATAGGTTGGGGTTAGATATTATGACAGGATATATGGCAGCTGTGCCCAAAGAGAGGCAGGGATTCTAAGAGGTAGATGTGAGGAAGGAGTAGGTTCCAGACATGGAGGACCACTTACGCAGAGGCACAGTGGTGGGAGATGGAAATTCAAATATGAATGATGATAACCCATACCACCATCATTATCACCACCACCACTGCCACCACCAACTATTAACTGCCACTGACATTTATATAACTCTTGAAGTTTCCAAAAACACTTTGCATACATTATATTATTTTGAGCTCTTTGAGTAGGAACTACAGGAATCGTTCCCATTTTACAGATGAGAAAACTGAGTCATAGAGCGGTTAGGTGACTTGCCAATGAGAGAGGTCAATCAATAATTCTCAGAGGAAGAACAGACAATGGACTTGAGCAGGGGTACTGAGGAATAGGAGTCATATGTGGATCTGTAATGAAGAATGGAGAGGTCTGCTGTCTTCCTGGTACTTGTGTCTAAGACAGGACTGGAGAAACTCCTGAGCCTAATAAAACTTAAAACCACTCCTGATTTGTAGTGATTCACATGTGGACAAATGGGAAAAGAGGAACTGAATTAATGAATCTCCCAGTTGAGATCAATGACTGGCTAGATGAGGGGAAGAAGGAGAAGGCCCAGGTGTGGGAGCATAGAACAGCAGTGAGCAGAAGAGCAAGAGGACCCTCAGTCTATAAACATAGGAAAAATAGGGGAACCCCAGACTCTTGGCCTGCAGGAGTACTGGAGTCTCCACTGTGGTAGCTCCTACCACTAGGCTCAACAAGCATTTTGTAGACGGAAGATGAAGCACATAATTCAGGGGGAGGTGGTATGGTGCAATGGGAAGAGCACTAGGCCTGGCCTCAGAAGACTCGGGTCTAAATTCTGCCTCTTTATGCTAGCTATGTGACTTTGGGCAAAGCATTTACCTTCCCTGGACCTTTGCTTCCTCATCTGCAAAATGGAGAGTTTGGACTAGGTCTCTGAGGGCCCCTTCTAGCTCCACGTCTGTGATCCCTTTCAAGGAGGTTGTGTGAGGCCTCATAAACGTGAAAAAGCACAAAGTGGCTGGTCGTTGGGTTTCTGCTCGCAAGTTTTTTCTCAGGCTCCAGCAGAGGAAAATCTGCTTGTGATGGGACTTTGACGAGAGGCTGCCAACTACTGATCAAAAGTAGCTAAGTAAGCTTGTGTCCTACGGAGAGGAGAGTCAGGCTCCCTAATGATAAATAAACCCTCACTCAGGAGCCCCCAGACACAGAGTCCTCACTTAGGGTAAATATGCTGCTGACACGCAGTGAGCACCAAAAGACCGATGGCTGAATAGTTTATTTTCAGCAGGTTGGGAGAGCAAGAAGCATTCTGCAGTGATCTGCACAGTGCGTGAAATGCATTTCTGCCGCTGCCGTGTAACAGCGGGGCATGTACAAAGCACAGGTTTGTCTCCCTACTAGAGGAGAGCTAGTCAGTCAGTCAATCTATCAACATTTATTAGGCACCTCTTATGTGCCAGGCACTGTGCTAAGCTCTGGGAATACAAAGAAAGTCAAGACAGTCCCTGTTCTCAAAGAGTTCCCAATCTAATTAGGAGAGAAAACGTACAACTACATACAAATATATGTGGAATAAGTTGGAGATAATCATGAGAGGGAAGGCGCTACAATTCAGAGGGATCAGGAAAGGCTTCTTGGACAAGTTGGGATTTTGGCTAGAACTTGAAGG